TTATTTCCCACATCTCCCTTTTTATTATTATTTTATTTTTTAATACAAAACACATTCAAATTTATTTTTAATTATTTGTTATTTTGTTAATAATGGAAATTATCATTTTATTTCAAAATTGGAATAATGTGATCAATTTCTATTTATTAACTTCAATTTCATTTTAAATCTTCTCTAATTTCTATGGTGATTTCGTGTCGCCTCGCGATTAATAAGCATGAGTAGTTAGTGGCAAATCTAACGTATTTGTCAGCTTTTTATGTTTCTGCTTACAGGGGTGGATCTAACGTATCCATCGTGCCCGAAAATCACTCGAAAGTCGTACAGAAAGAGACTTGTTTTTAAAAGTCTTAATTTAACAAGACTTCTTATTAGACTCTCTCTGCACGATTGTAGATTTGTATTAAAGGATGTTTCAGTACCCTTACCCTCCCCCTTAGAGCATATCTCAAGGGTTATTACATTCTAGTTTTAAATTATCCCTAGGATCGTGAGATGGTTGCACACTAGCACGATCCACCTGCAGCTCTCCTGCAGCCCTCCTTGTTTTCAATTCAATCGTATATATTTGCTTTATCTTTGATAATTAAAGGTAGTTTCAATTCTTATTAAAGAAATCTTTTGTATTTGATTGGCATTGGTTCCTTTCACTCCGCCCGTCCGCCGCGCGTCCCCCCGTAACTGGTGCTCTGCCTATTATGGGGGTGCCGGTAATTCCGCAGACTAGTCAGTTAACTCTGACAGGGTCTCTGCCGGTCCCAATACCTTCCTTTCTCCTCTAGCCATTTGCCATTTCAATACTCTAGTTTTCTCTTCGCTCGGGCGAAGCTCACTATTAACTTCATCTTGACTTCCCCTGGTTAAGGTTAGGCATTTAGTATGGATCGAATGAGCTTTTGCTTGGCTCACGATTCTCTCTCTCCATATCACTTTTTTGGAGTTTGCTTTATTATTTCGAGTGATTCTCCATTTGTCGTCGGTTGTGTGTTGTATTTATGTAATGTCTGTGGGGATCTAACGTATCCCCACGTGTTTCTCTTTCAGCAGATAAAGTTCACCTCTGGACTGTTG